ATCTCCAGGCCCTATCTGGTTCCATTTCACTTTGATTACCCTGTCAAACAAGTCAGCCTTCGCCCCTGATAATAACAATGATAATCGTAATGGGTCATTTACATAGCGCTCAATCGGATTAAAATGCACAAGCCCTTGGCGATTTATAATACAACAGAAACATATAAACGGTAATTTGTGTTTCTGAAAAAAAAACCTCTCTAACTATGCATCTCATGAATGTAAAAATAGAAATGATTTTGACTGACAGTTGAATGAATAAAAAGATTTGATCTATCTTAAACTACTGGGCAAAGCATTCCTGATGTTGGGGCCGTGGTATACAATTTAAATACCCATAGTTTTACGTACCATAAATGGTAATAGAAATTTTTGTGTGTGAGTTAATAACCTTAAACTGCAAGTTGGGATACAAAGTGTCAACAGATTTGATAAATAGGATGGCCCATTATCATTCAGGTATTTGTTACATAGACTGGCCAACTATAACAAAATTATTTTCTCAACAGGGGGACAGTGCAGTGCCCACAAGAGTCCTGCTTTCTTCTTTGTAAAACTAAACGCGCACCATCATTTTGGACAGTTTGAAGTCTTTTCACTTTTTCCAGTACATGTAATATTCCTGATACCGAGGAGTTACTCGATAAAATATTGATAAAACTAAGCAATTTACTAATAAAGAGGTATGCTTTAGATTGTAGATTAGATGAAGTAATTTACTGATTTTTCTTATTTCTAAACTAGCTTGGTACCCCGTTTGATGAGCGGATTCAAAAGAATTGATAGTCAAGTCATTGTGGGTGCAGTGCGCACTGCTTGTATACGAAAGCCTCACTTATTTATAATGGCTTCATGGAAGACGGACTTTCCTAAGATTAGATCTAAACGAAACTAATGAAAAACTGATAATTAAACAACATTGACTTAAGCTGCAACCATATTAACGCCCGACATGGACTGTCAGACCAGACCATCTTCGGGCACAAAAGAATACGCTCCGGCTTTTTAAAAATGGAAAGCAACAACAACAACAACAACAAAACCGGTTTCGGCTACCATACTGACGCCCGACGTCCTGTGTCGTCCCCGGTCAGATCGTCTCCGATAAAACACGGTCCGTCGGGCGAGATGGGAGGTTATTTTAATGATGTTATCTCTGCATAGTTGTGTCCCCTTTCACGCCTCAATGACACTACACAGAATCTAGCAGTTCTTGGTCAGCTCTGCATATCTCTAGCAGTTTATTGATACTGCTATGTTTTATGCAATAGTATTATTAAAATTTTTCACTATCTTCCAACAACTGCGGAAACAAAAGATGAAATTCACCTAGTGTATCACGCTTTCTTTGGATGGGATGCACTGAAAATCCTTTTGTCTTGATTTTCCTCTTTTGTCTGCGTCTCAACAGCAAGAACAAGAGCAATTTTATTCCTCTACCACACGTTATATTTGCAAGACGGCGGTGTCTGACAGCCAAATTCCGGTGCTAGATCTAATATTTTGGTCAGCCGCACCCGACGGAAAACGGCGGGTCTGGTCTGACTGTCGGCGTCGGGCGTTAATATGGCTCTACCCTTAGACTCCTTAATATCATGACTACGCATCCTTTAAATGATTCTGAACCACAGTCAATCTGTTTAATTTCGAAAGTTAAGTGGTTTTGGAAGTTTAAGGCGACCAAAGTGACCGACTTTCACAAATATAATATAGATTTGTTTATTTCCGTCGGAAGAGCAATTTTTATATAATGGAAAACGAAATACATGTATGTCTTGAACACTGCATTGAAATGACGAACGGGAAAATCATAAACCACCGAGAGTGTTTTCTATTTTTCTCATTTTTTTTGGCGAATGCAAGCACTTACTGAATTTATAGAAACCCAGCTTGGTCTTTGAACTACCTTCAGTAATATTTTCATAGTTTTACGTTCCGTAGTGTTTTTTCAGCTGTAGAAAACAACCATCCACATGTATCAAATCTATTATCTATTTGTGGTGGCCGAATGTTGCTATTCAAAAGGCTTTTTAATGGCTGCATCGATCGACATGCGGTTTTCGAAAAAAAGTTCTTTAAAATATTCTCCAGATCATGGCGCCCTTCGTTTTTTCAGTTTTGAGACAATTTTGCTGCAAAAAGCTAAATTTTTTTTATTTCGCCGATCGCTTTTGTAGGCCGACACTACTGCCTCTGTAATTTTAGAAAATCCGCCAATTTTGTTTATTACAAGTCGTACTTCCGTTCGATACTATCGCGCATTGTCACGCAATACTGAGCACTATTTTAAGTGTGCGATCCGTATAGATCCAGATTCATGTTTTCTTTTTTTACTTGGTGCTAAATTCGACTG